ATTTAAATGACCCTTTCTAAAACATTAGTACACCTTTGACCAGACTTTCTCATTCTCGTTGGCGATGGGTGCTGCTTGAATGAAATCATAAACACGGGCCCTAATCTTAAACTGTTTTAAAGTTTATATACCCACAGCTTCCACGTGTCAATTTAAATGTTAGGCAACACGCATTTGTAGTTTATTTTATTTAATAAACTAACTCTATGCAAAAATTTGTGGAAAGTCTGAGAGATTGTTAGTTTATGTCAAACTGTTCCACCATAAAGCAATGTTATTACAAACTAAAACTAACTCAGTAATATAACATGAAGTGACGATTCAAAATTTTGCAATAAAAACATACCTTTTTTTTATAAATTTTAGTTGATTATTTCAACATTTTGCCACATTATCCATCATAATAGAAGATGACAATGAAATAAAACATGCAGTTACATTACATTCAATACAATAACAACACAATATTGCCCTTTACCCCTTATATTTATTGATAAACATTATTTTTATTTTAAACTACAAAGTTGAATTGAAACTGTTGTTCACATCAATGTCATAAAGTTAGTATAAATTTAATTCAATTTTTGAAAACCAAAAAATTAACTTTCATATTCAATATGCCGCCATTGCTGGTGATATTATAATACATATTAAATGATATTTATTGGTTTGTCAATTCATTACAAGGTAACAATGGGGTTAACAGTATGACTAGGTGATCAACATAGAATAGAGATTCTTGTATAGAATAACATTTATATCTACTTTAACAGTAAAAATTAATTCAAATCAAAATGTTTCAACTAAGATGCAACTAATTTTTAACTGATATCACACACAAGTAAAAAGGTATGCTTTAATTGATGCTGATTAATTTGATAAACAATGTTAGACATAAACTAAATCCTTACTATAAACTAAAATCCAATTATAGTTTTACTTGGAGTAGAAATTTTAGTACACAACACACAAACAAACGAATATGAATGAGTAATGTTACTATATCATCAGTGGATACCAGAGAAGTGTATCTCAAGAATGCTTTAAAATTAACTGAAAAATCAAATAAAGAGAACTAGCATAGTTAAAACTATCCAGTACTGGGAACGCATCATTGTTATGTAGATTTGGTGAGTAAAATCCATATCCAGAGATTGCTGTGTGTTGTAACAACTACGGTGTGCCTTGCTTGCTGGTCAGCAACATTATTACAGTATGTTGTAACAGCCATGGTGTACCTTGCTTGCTGGTCAGCAACATTATTGCAGTATGTTGTAACAACTACGGTGTGCCATGCTTGCTTGTCAGCAACATTATTGCAGTATGTTGTAACAACCATGGTGTGCCTTCCTTGCTGGTCAGCAACATTATTACAGTATGTTGTAACAACAAGTACGGTGTGCCTTGCTTGCTGATCAGAAACATTATTGCAGTATGTTGTAACAACCATGGTGTGCCTTGCTTGCTGGTCAGCAACATTATCGCAGTATGTTGTAACAACCACGGTGTGCCTTGCTTGCTGGTCAGCAACATTATTGAAGTATGTTGTAACAACCATGGTGTGCCTTGCTTGCTGGTCAGCAACATTATCGAAGTATGTTGTAACAACCACAGTGTGCCTTGCTTGCTGGTCAGCAACATTATTACAGTATGTTGTAACAACCACAGTGTGCCTTGCTTGCTGGTCAGCAACGTTATTGCAGTATGTTGTAACAACCATGGTGTGCCTTCCTTGCTGGTCAGCAACATTATTGCAGTATGTTGTAACAACCATAGTGTGCCTTGCTTACTAGTCAATTCTTTGAACACTATGTTGGAATTCTCTAAATTGCTAAAATATCACATCCCCTGAATGAGATATGTTACTGAAATAAACGGTCGATAATGATCTTGAGGGAGTAGTTCAACATTTTTCATCTGCAAAACACTGCTGCACCATTCATACTTTCCTATGATTGGTCAAATATAAACAGAAACTGAACAGATCGTCCTTATATATTATGGCAAATGACTATCAATTCACAAACATGAAATTAAATTTGCCTTTATCCAGTGACAATATAATCATAGGTAATCAAGTTAAACCTTCAAAATTAAACAGACTTATTCTACTAATAAGATCACTCTAATACTCGTATAAACTGGAATCATCAAAAATTGGTTTGTAATCAACTAATGTCTAATGAAAATATTGTCAGTGAATTCGCGTTATTAATTCAAATATGAAGAGGTTAAATGAACATTGATTGTACTGTTATTGTGCATTGCTTGACTATGGTAATGAAATCAATTTTGTCAAGGTTATTTATTCCCATTCATCCTCTTCTTCATCTTTCACTGCAGCTTGTTTAGGTTTTCCATCTGGGTATTTAAGCATATCTTCAATCGCACGTGTCACAAAGTAGTTTTCTAGGTACTTCCTGTTGATTTCCAACAGATTTTCGATGCTGCTTTCATGATACACCTTCCCTTCTGTTGGCTTTGCGGATGCTCCATCTCTTCTGACAGTTGTTACCCAGTTTTCAGACCACTTGTCAAGGAGCAAATCAGTAACATACAGATCTGCATTGAAAGCACGTTCAGCTATCGCTCTATGTTCAGAACGAGATATTCCCATATACCGAGACAACAGTCGGTGGTCTTTAAGGTCTTCTCTTTCAATAGATAATAGAATCGCCACTTCTTGTCTTGTTTTGTGTGCCATCCACTTTACATCGGACTTGATACCATCTTCTTTCAGAATTGTCAGGTCAAATCCTGGAATCAGTAAATCTGTGACCTCTTCTGCTATTCCAATTTCTACATCATAGACCTTGACTTTCATTTTTTCTGCTTGAAGTACTTGCTCTATTGGATAGGATCTGACTTTATTGAGGTCATGGTGGCTTCGCAAAGAAGATCTGCTGGTTACCTGAAACTTCACTTCTGCACCAGGGCTTGTTTCATGTAAAACCTGATGCATAACAACAGCCACCTTTTGCATTAATGAATGGCACTCTCCAAATTGGTTTCTTCTTTCACATCGAACGGCGACACTGACATCACGATTGTCTTCTGAAAGAAAGACCAAGGCTTCAACATCCTCACATACCTTGATAGCGTTTTTCCAAATACCACTCGGTGGACGCTGTAATCTTGTGTAAAGATCGTGAAGACACGCTTGCAGTTGAGGAAAGAAATTGGGGGAAAACATATCAGCTGCTGCTTTGCACAGGAATTCTTTACCAAAATAATGACGCTTATGGGGTTCTTCCTTCCATTGATCTTCTGGCATATATAGTGAAAGTAAATTCGGAATAATATACTTCCCTCTATGGCCACCACCATAATCCTTTTCACCCAATAGAACAATTATTTGAAAGTGTTCCAGCAGGGGTATCAGTAGGCCCATATCTGCTTCCTTCACAAGCACTTCTTTGATGTCTTCAAATGTGTATATCGTCTGCTTCTTCAACTTCTCTGAGTACTGGACAAACAAGTCAGTAGCCATGAGTGGTCCAATTATTCTATCACAAAACCACTGAGGAACAAGTATTATCACATCTTCTATATCAGACATTCTGACATACAGAATCTGAAACCAACATATAAAAATAAGACAATGACGTCACAATAAATTGGATAATTAGCATATAACGTTGCCTCACTACATCAGTAATTATTAAATGTATACAATAAATATTAGTTGTGTCATCAGTTTGTTTCAATACAAATTTTATTTACAGAACACAGGTTAGCATTTGTTCACATGGGTACATGTGTTTATGAGCCACAATATGACTCTTGTCATATAAAAACACTATTTTGATTAATATTTGATGAATGCATTAGTGTGGATAAAGTTGTAAAATATGTACATACTGGTAACGTTTTATTTTGTGCGCTTATTAGTGTCCACTTACTTCACCAGTGTCATAAAGATACTCAGATGCTTTACTCAGGAAATCCTCTTCAATTGATGAATCAATATCTCGTCTAACATTGGTCACATAATCTCTCCAATACATAACAGGAAATAATATACATTTCTCAGTCCATTTTCTTT